CAAAAAAAAAAAAAAAAAAGAGTTATCTCATTTTCTTAAGGTCCATAACACTAATATTATCTGTGAATTACATCTCTTATATGCATAATCCCAGGGATAGTTTATATATCCTCGGGTGCATTCTGTCTATTACAAGTATAAAACAAGAAAATAGTACCCATTATCATCCATCATCAGTGTCATAAGAGGATAATCAATGCATTAATGAAAAAAAATAAGTAATGAGTTTGGATGTCAGGAAAAAGTATATGTCATTTTATTTGTAGATAATATGATATTGTGCCCCCCAAAATCTAAGAGCCCCAACTGTCAATAAGAGTTTAGTAGGGTGAATAGATACAAAACTAAATTTTTTAAAGTCTTTAATTTTCCTATTAACTAGCTATAGTAAATCACAAATGCAGTTGGGAAAAAATTATTCACTACAGCAATAAAATACTGATGAATAAACCAGTTAAATTGTATGACCTGTAAGAAGAAAGACTTTTTTAACCAAAGAATATAAAAGAGACATGTTTAATTGGAGAGATGGAAAATATGTAGATTTTTACTGCTTGTAATTTTAATACAGTCCCAGTGAAACTTACAAGATATCTTTAAGGAACTTGACAATTGGGTTCTAAGCTGTATATGGAATTTTTTAAATGCACAAGAATAACCAAGAGCAATAACGAGACTTACATGCCTTACCACATACTGAAACATGCAATAATGACCATAGTAATTAAAACTGTGAGCCAGTTGTAGTGGCTCATGTCTGTAATTCAAGCACTTTGGGAGACTGAAGTGAGAGGATTGCTTGAATCCAGGAGTTCAAGACCATCCTGGGCAACATAGCAAAACCTCATCTCTACCAAAAAAAAAATCAAAAAATTAGCCGAGAACAGTGACATGTGCCTGTAGTCCCAATACTTGGGAGACTGAGACAAAAGGACTGCCTGAGCCCAGGAGGTCAAGGCTGCAGTGAGCCATGATTGTGTTACTGCACTCTAACCTGAGCAACAGCGTAAGACCCCAACTCAAAAAAAGGAAAGAAAAAGAATTGTTATGACACAAAAGTGAAATACATTTTAAAAAATGATGTGTGTATATATAGGAATTTTCTTAAGGGCTTTATTTAGATACTGATTCAAACCAACCAATCATTAAAGGGCATTTATTTTATTTTATTTTATTTTTTTTTGAGTAGGAGTCTCACTCTTTCGCCAAGGCTAGAGTGTAGTGACACGCTCATGGCTACCGCAGCCTCAACCTGCTGGGCTCAGGCAACCCTTCTCCTCAGCCTTTCAAGTCGTTGGAACCATAGGCGTGCACTGCCTTGCCCGGTTTATTTTTTGATTTATTGTAGAGACAAGGTCTTACCAAGTTGCCCGGGCTGGTCTCGAACCCCTGAGCTTAGGTAATCTTCTCGCTTCAGCCTACCAAAGTGCTGGGATTACAGACTTGAGCTACCACGCCCGGCCATGAAAGGGCATTTTTGAGGCAGGCAGAGAAATTTAATGATGAACAGCACGTTAGAGGCTATCAAAAAATTATCCTTAGATCTGATAATGGTATTGTGGTTATATTTTTTAAATTTTACATTTAGAGACTTTTATCAAAGCATGTAGGAGTGAAATAATATCATATCTATAATTTGCTTTAAAATGCTTTAGCAAAGAAAGAAAAGGACAGGTGATGCAAATATGGAAAAATTTGACAAATTTTGAATCTCAGTAATAATATATGGGAGATTGTTGTACTGGTCTCTCTACCTTTGAGTATATTTTAATTTCTTCATAATAAAAATATATTAATGGGATTTCAAATCTTTGGGGAAAGGATTGAATAAATGGTGTTAAAGCAATTTTCTGTGTATTTAGGAAAAAATATAAAGCTAAATTCTTCCTTTTCACTATATACAAAATAAATTTCAGAAGAAATAAAGAACTAAGGACTAAACACAAGATTATTAAAAACTGGAAAAATGCATAATATTTTTGTATATTACATATGCTTTCTTAAGCAAGACACAAAGCTCAGGAGCTAAAAGGAGAAAAAACTGGTAAATATGACCACATAAAAACTAAAAATTTATGTATAACAAAAGGGCATAAAAAGAGAGAGGGGATAGAATGGGAGGAAGTGTTTGTAACATAACAGAAAAAGGACTAATAACTAGAAAGAAATATACTTAAATAATAAAAAAACTAAAAAGTAGAAATAGATAAGAGGATATGAACTGCCCATTTACAGAAGTAGAAATACAAGCCAGTTGCAGTGTGGCTCACGTCTGTAATCCAGCACTTTGAGAGATGAAGGCAAGAGCGTGTCTGAGCCCAGGGGTTCAAGACCTTATGTCTACAGTAAATCAAAACATTAGCTGGGCATGATGGCATGTGCCTGTAGTTCCAGGTACTTGGAAGGCTGAGGCGAAAGGATCGCCTGAACCCAGCAGGTAAGGCAGCAATAGCCACGAGCATGCCACTGCACTCCAGCCTAGATGACAGAGTAAGACCCCAACTTAAAAAAAAAAGAAAAAAGGAAGTAGAAATACACATGGCCAACAACATAAATCATTTTTTTAAAATCTCATATTGGCATAATTTTAAAGATTGGCAATATCCAGTGTTGGTAAGGTATAGGGAAATATGCTGCTACATACTATATGTAAAAGACTAAGTACAATTAGGATTGGGGACAATTTGGCAATGTCTATTAAAATTAAAACATAATTTTCACCTAACATTTTTATCTTAAATATTTCCATATTTGTTTAAAGAATAGTTGACTAGATTATTGATACTGTACTATTATTGAGAAGTTTGAAAATTCGAATAGCAATAGAGTAAGCGTGAACAAAATATGGTGCAGTTAAAGTATTGAATCTATGGATTAAATAAAGACAAAGAGGTCAGTTTATTTTTAAACATGAAATAATGTCTTAGATACCTTCAGGGAATTATATATTTCACTTTATTATTTTTAAGCAAGATTTTCTGTTGGTGCAAGTATCTATGGAAATAGAGAAGAAACTGGAAAAATACACATAAATTGATGGGATGATAATTATATTGGGGTGGAGAGCACATGGTAGATTTTGTCAATATAATGGAGACTTTTTTGCATTTTGTATTAGTTTTCTATAAATATATTTATGTAATTTTTAAAATTAAAGTTATGCATGTCAAAACTTGTGTGATGCAAATAAGGTCTGTAGATTATGCCAATGTAAATTTCTTGGTTTTTATACTCTACTATAGTTATATAAGTTGTATTGTTAGGATAAGTTAGGTGAAGGTACTCTCTATACTAGTTTCACAACTAGCAAGTCCTTAACTATTTCAAAAAATTTTTAAGTTCATTAAATAAATAAGTAAATGAAATAAATATATATATTTTAATGTACCAGATATATTTGAACACTATTTACAACAAACTCCCATTAAGATGCGGTCTATATCTTGAAAATCATGTGTTTTAAAAGACATTTTGAAGAAAAAAAATAGAAATTTAGTGTTCAGTTCTTGTCCAAAAGGAAAATTAAAAATTGGCCTTGAGTATATCATATCCTAGTTACTTTGTTCATAAATGTAGCTGTCTGAAAAAAAAAAAATCTGTAAATGAGAAGGACTATAGATCAGAAGAAATGGTTATGTTATTATTATTATTTTTATTGTGGTAGTTTGCTTATCTCCCAGGAGATGCATGGGCAGTAAAATTAATACAACACATGCCTAGTATAACTAGCCTCATCCACTGGGAGGTAGATACCTGCATGAAATAAATATTTTAAAAAGGAATTATGACTACTAGTTACTAAAGCCTTTTGAATTATCTAAACACTCTAGTTTCTTAAAGAAGCGAAACAAAAAGAAAAAGTCACCATTATTTTCCTGTTTTCTTTAACAGGTTCTAAATGATCTGGAATGTCATGGAGTTGCTGTGTCAGAACAAAGCCGAGCAGAGCTGGAACAGAAAATAGATGAAACTAGAGAAAATATCCGTAAAGCAGAGGTAAGGTGGCAGCTTATAGTAGCATTTTGCCCAGCTGTAATGACAGTATCACAGCTATAATATGCACCTTTAAAACTGAGTCTCTACACACGTTGAGTGTGTAGAGACTCATCATTGTGTCCACATTAGTTTATTTATTTTGTACCTACTTTGTAAAAGGAAGTACATATAACAAGAAATACTGAACATGCTGTGAAGAGTTTATAATCATGAAACATTGCATAACAAAAGAAGTCACAATGAAAGTACTAATTTTAAAGTTTTCACAAAGTATACGTCAGTCAAGTTAATGGTAGGAAAATTGATACACGTGTAAGTTCAGAAAATCTCTCATACATGGCAAGTTCCCTGGATCCAGTGACATGAGCTGGTCTTCTAAGGATAGGGAAGTTTGGGTTAAGCAGACAAGGTTTGAAAATACTTGTGAATTTTTATCTTTTTTGGAGTCATGGGACCTTTTGGGGTTTCTATGAAAGCTATGAAACATTCTGTCCAGAGTTCATATACCTGAAGCTAACACTCTCTGCCCTAGAGGGGAAGGGGTTAAGATGAGAAACAACAAAATATTAGCAAAGGAAGAAGACACAAGATATAGTTCACTAGTTGGATATGATTGGGGGAGTTTTGTAAGGAAGTGTTGTAGAAAATAAGTAAATTATTGTGACTAGGGCCAGTTCATGGAGGACCTGTGCAAGTGTGTTTATCTACTCAGTTACAACATGGTGAAGGAATATGGAAGTAGAGATTTCTAAAAGACAGAGACCCTTAAGAAGTTATGTTCTTTTTAGGAAGGCATAGAAAGTACCAGAGATAACAGATGATAAAACATAAGTGCCAAGGAGTGGTCCATTCAGGTAATACTTAAGGAACCCAGAAGACTCAGAAATTACCATAGGAGGAGTTGTCAGGGCAAGTAACACAGAAAAGAGTTGGCAGATGAGTAATATTGATTGTTCAGAGAAAAAGGGATAGCATTGATTTATGCCATGCAGCCTCAAGAGGCAGAACTTCAACCAAAAGATGAGGGTAGGAAGGAGGCTGATGTGAATTTGGTGTTGGGAAATAAATACTCTCTAACAGTCAGAGCTTCCCAACAGCAGAGTAAGCACCCCGGGACATATGCAGCACAAGTGTTGAGAAGACTGGGTTAGCATCTGTCAGGGACTCATACAGGGGACTCTTGCATTGGTTGAGGGTTAATCTAAACTAATAATTTTCAAACATCCCTTCAGATTGCTAGAGGCTTTAAGGAAGTGCTTCAGTGGTTGTGGGGTGAGGGGAAAGGCAGCATCAACAAGTATAGGGAATATGTGTATGTTTTTGGCACAGCCCCATGGAAGTTGTTTGAATCAGCACAGGCTTGCCATCTGCCTGATCTAGAAGAACTCCAGTACTCTGCCTCCACTTAATTCCTGGCAGTTTGATCCGCAGTAAGGAGGGCAGGGTGTACAGTGAATAGCCATTTTCCTCTCTGAATTCAGGGTCATGGCTAACCCACTGTCCTAGGGCTCTGGCCAAGTACGGTTGGCAAGCCCTTGCCTACTTTGAGAAACACTGGCCCGTGGTAGAAGAGCTTTTCCTGTTGTTTCTCCACACTCCAGATGAAGCCAGTTTCAGAGCCTTGGTGGAACAGGAGTGATTATTTTGAGACAAACCTCAGAAGTTTTCTGAGGGCTGTTTCATTTATTTTCCATTTCTTATATTTTCCATTTTCAGACTCCATCTATCGTGTCACTGTCTGGTACCCTAACTCCACCAAACCCTACCCTCTAACCCCAGTAGTAGGTATGAAGCACACAGTCTTCATTTAGGCCAAATGACTGGTTATTTCTATAATGTGCTAAACTAGACTATGTTTGTTTAAAACTAAAAGTATGAAGTGAAATTCTCACAACACAATGTCTCACCTCTCCTATGTAAGTCTGCATTCTCAAAGATAGTTTTCTTATTAAAAACATGTAATGTAGTATGCTAAAATATATAATGTAGTATGATAAAACTGTGATTCCAGATTATCTCAAGTTTGAATATCTGTAAAATTGAATTAATACTACTGTAATCTTAAAACGATGTCTCACTTGGTCTTCACTTACCAGACACAAAAAAATAGCCCAGCTAAAATTAGCTGGCAAATATGAGGGCATATTTATTGGGGTAGTACTTATAAGGATTGTCATAATAAAATTTTTGGATAGACTGGAGCACAAGAGTCTTCAAAGGAATTGACAATAATGATTTCTGTATATACCATTTCCCTTTCTTCTGCCTGTATGTCATTTGTATTGGATTTTCTCTTCCCACTCAATAGTTATTTACTTTATTTATTATAAGTACCTATACAAAAAGGAGAAAGCTGGTTAAAATTCTATTGTAGCCTTTGTGTTTGCTTCTTAACTCTTACTAACATGAATTATGGCCTAACCCTTGGCTAATCTACATTATCTAGTTTTTTCTATATTATGTTTTCATTCTGTGTTGCTAATAATCTTTTTTGACACTCAGTAATAGGTTAAAGAACTTTTTCAGTCAGAAGAAACTAAAAATAGGCTGGGTGTGGTGACCAGATGCTTTGGGAGACCAGAACAGGAAGATCACTTGAGGCCAGAAGATTGAGACCATTCTGGGCAACATAGTGGGAGCCCCATACCTACAAATAAAAAATTAGCCAGGCATGATGGTACATGCTTGTAATTCTAGCTACTCAGGAGGTTGAGGCAAGAGGATCGCTTGATCCCAGGAATTTGCAGTAACAGTGAGCCTTGATTATGCTACTGCACTTCAACTTAGGCAACAGAGTGAGACCCTGTTTATTTGGGTTTTTTTAAAGGCAAATAAATTAAAAATATAAATACCCTATGCTTTTCCAAAGTATAGGGGTTAATAGTGATTAATTAATTCTTGAATAGTTCATTAGGGGGAAGATTTACTAATTGATTAATTCAACACCTTAATAAGTACCTGCTGTGTGCCAGATACTGATGAAAATACTAGGCATACAGTGAAAAACAAGCTATTATTAAATTGTTATCTCTATGATTGTTATGAGAATATATGTACTAGCTATGGCACTGTTTATAGCGTCTGACCAATTCAAGAATTGAAATGAGGCAACAACTGCTTAAATAAACTTTAATAGCAATGTTCTTAACCTTTAACTTCGTTTTTGAATTTTTTGAAATGCTTTTTGTCATACACAAACACATTAATTATCTGACACACATCTATTTTAAAAGTAGCTTGCCTCAGAGTGTTACAGCATTCAGATGTTAAATGTAATCCCTGTGATAACTACAAAGAAAATGGCTTTAGGAAAAAAAATAGGCCATTGCTTTACTAGACTCTGGTGTGGCCTTTCTCCAAGATAATAGCTATATTTTAAGATCAGAATCAAATGTACATTTGACAGCAAAAGTTCAATATATGTAGTATCAAGTGAATTAACAAAAGGGAAAAATCAAATTATTGTTTTTATTTTTTGTAAATGTATTTGAGTGAAGGTCTTACTCTGGCTGGAGTGGCATGATCATGGCTCATTGCAGCTTCAACTTCTTAGTCTCAGGTGAGCCTTCTGTCTCAGCCTTTTAAGTTGCTGGGACTACAGGTGTGTGCCACCACACCCAGCTAATTATTTGATTTTTTGTAGAGACGGGATCTCACCATGTTGTCTAGGCTGATCTCAAACTGATAGGCTCAAGCAATCCTCCTGCCTTTGCCTCCCAAAGTACTGTGATTACAGGTGTGAGCCACTGCACCCTGTCCTATAAAAACATTTTTTATAGATACCGTTTTCTCTTTGTTGTTGTTGTTTTGTTTTGTTTTTTGGAGTTGGAGTCTCACTCCTTCGCTCAGGCTGGAGTACAGTGGCACGCACACTCACGGCCACCCCAGCGTCGACCTGCTGGACTCCAGTGATCCTTCCACCTCAGCCTTCCAAGTAGCCGAAACTACAGACTCGCGCTACCTTGCCCCGCTGTTTGGTTTTTTTAAAAATTTTATTGTAGAGACAAGGTCTCACCAAGTTGCCTGAGCTGGTCTCAAACCCACGGGTTCAGGCAATCTACTCACCTCGGCTTCCCAAAGTGCCAGGATTACAGGCTGAGCCACCAAGCCCGGCTGCCATTTTCTCTTAAATGACCATCTCACAGGGTGCTGTTGTACACCAGTAGTTCAGAATTACTATGAAACTCTTGTATCTCAATGACTCAAAAATTCCAAACCTCTTGCCATAGTGGGATAAGAGAGGCCCAGAAATTTGTTACATAAAATGTGATGCTTCATTATTGCAAAGTCAATGAAATAACAAAGGTGAGCCTACTATAAAAACAAAATTTCTAATGACATTGTATCCAAATTTATATTACCACAGGGCCTGTTATTGTGAGGCTTCACTGTATTCATGCTGTTAACAGACCTCTTGACTAATAACTTTTTTCATTTTTTATTGTGAAAATGTTCAAGCATACATAAAAGATGAAGAATAAACATGTATTTTCTAACATCTAGATTCAGTTATTATATTTTGAAATACTGGCTTTATGTGTTTATTAGATTGACTCATTATTTCTGTTCTATATTATGAAAATTAGATCCTAAGGCCTGATTAGATGCAGGTTAGTATTTTAGGCAGGAATAGTTTAGAAGTGATGCTATATTTTTCACCACATGAAGAATTATAAAGTTGTCCAGCAATTAATGATACTAAGAGTGGTCATTTAAGGCAGTTTTTCATGGTAAAGTTTCTTTTTTTTTTTTTTAAGTTGGAGTCTCACTCTGTGTCGCCCAGGCTGGAGTGCAGTTGCACACTCAGAACCAGCACAGCCTCAACCTGTTGGGCTCAGCTGGAACTACAGGCATGCATCACCATGCCCAGCTAATTTTTTGATTTGTTGTAGAGACAAGGGCTCGCCATGTTGCCCAGGCTGGTCTCGAACCCCTGGACTCAGGCAATCCTCTCACCTCCACCTCCCAAAGTGCTTGGACTACAGGTGAGCCACTGCGCT